TATTTTTGTTGTACAGTTATTTTATTTTCAACTTTAATTTATATATTTATCTTTATCTTATTCTTCCCAGTTAAATTTACCCTTCATTCTAATTTGTGTTGTACAGTTATTTCATTTTAACCTTAATTTATATTCTATTCCTTCCTAGTTAAATTTACCCTTTTTAATTTTTCATATTTATTTCCTATCTTATTCATAGCCTTTTCCTTTTTTTGTTTTCTTTAGGTCACGAGCAGTTGTCCAAGCATTTCACTACATATCGTACTGTGTATGACTGTGTACGTGACAAATAAATTTGAATTTGTATTTGTATTTGAATTTGTTTTTTGATTTGAGTTCAGAGAAGTCAGAATTTCAAGAAGCGTCTGAAACAGCTCAGGTTTGGAAAGAAGCCTTTTATGTTGGGTGTTATAAAAAATATACACATATTTATAATAACAACTATAATTATTATAAATAGTAGTTATCTCTTATTATTATAAATAAATATCAAACATTTCAGTTGATTTTCTATCACATATATTGTGTTAGCCCTGTGATAAACTGGCAGCCTGTCCTGCTTTGCCCTGTGGCAGCTTCAACCTCCCACTGTCACGATCCTGGGTCTTTTGACCCAGCGTTTTAAGTTTTAGTTTATTTTTGATGTTTATGGTTTATTTTTAAGTTCATCAGGTTATCTAAGCTCATTTGTTTATTTAGATTCCTCTTGTGTCTTCTACCCTGTGTTTTAGTCTCCCTTTGCCCTCTTATGTTATCAAGTTTATATTGTCTTGTCTGCGTCTCATGTTTCCTGTTTTATTTTGAAGGTCTGTGTCCTATTTCAGTGTAGTCAGCTTTGCTTCCTTTGTCTCGTTATGTCAGAGTAGTGTCAGCTGTTTCCCCATGTGTTTCCACTTCCCCTAATCACCCTTGTGTGTATTTATTCTGTGTGTTTCTGTTCATTCTTTGTCAGGTTGTCTGTTGTTCCATGTCTCCAGGAGTGTCCATGTCCATGCAACGTTCAAGGTTTTGTTCTTTGCATTTAGTTTTCCCAGTTTACTTCTAGTTAGGTTCTTTCTTGTGTGCATCTGCCTTTTGTTTTTGTACTCGTTTATCAGCCACATTAAACGGCTCGCTTTTAACCTGACCGTGTTTTACCCAGCAGACATTTATTTCAGTGACTCTTTTGAATTTAACGGACTTTGGATTATTTCCTGTGCAGGAGGAGGAGAAGGAGGCTATTCGGGCTCAGATGACCCGGATAGCCACGGCTAACCCAAGGTTTCTGGATTTTCTTGCCTGATGATTTAAAGAACTTTGTTACTGCCTCAACCTCAGTAGTAATATAACTAGTTTAGGAGCATTTCACTTTTCTTTTGTGCTCTGAAAGACACAGAGGCTAATAGTTTTTAAAACAGAGTACCACAAACAACATGTATCCTTTAGAAATAAACTTTTCTTGTGATACTTCTAAAAACCACATTCTTAACTAGCCACAATAGCACTGTATCGACCCCCCAATGTTCCTTTAATACACAGGTGTCAAACTCTGGCCCGCAGCCTAATTACATTTGGCCCGCGAAGCCTTACCAAATTACTATTAGAGCTGGCCTACTGGTATTATACAGCTAATATATATATTGTTTAGTATTAAGCTTTGCTTGTTCCATATTCAGGTTTCCAGCAAAACTTATTTGAGTCCATAAGAAAATATTCATTCTTATATCTGGAGGAAGATTTTTTTTTCAATAAATATTAATGTTAGCCCACGACTTTGTTCCAGTTTTGAATTTTGGCCCACTGTGTATTTGAGTTTGACACCCCTGCTTTAATACAACCTATAATTGTCTAGTAGCCACACAAACGCACTGCAACAGTAAGACTTGATGATTAGACAGAGGGGGTTACAGGTAGGGCCCCAACAGTCAGCAAAACAAGTCATAAAACAATAAAAGCTGCATACTTATCAAGAGCATCCCAGCACACACATCCCAACTGTAGTTCCATAGTTTCCACCTTTTTTCTTTACAAACTGCTCTTTTCATCTCTCCATGTCAGAGGTCAACTGAAACCAAGTCCACCTATATAAAAACACCCCATCAGACACACAGTATTTTCCTCAGCACTTCACAACTTTTGCAAGGTATATCGTTTTAACTTTTTTTTTCGGACCCCGGACACAGCGCTGTGAGGTAGTTAGCACACAATTTGGCCATGTAGAAAGCATCGTTTGTTTGGAACGCGTCATCACTGTTCATAAGAGTTTAATTTAATCAAACCTCATTTTAGGATCTACGTGGCTCCTCATCACTCGCCGATTCATCATTTTATTTAAATATCTGAATTTTCAGAATGGTGATCCAAGCGGGACACAGAGGCTGCTAGTTTTAACGCACCAGAATGCCGCAAATATAAATAAAAGCCGACTATCCCGAGAGCCTAGCCGCAGCGACACCTTTCTTTCAAATGGATGCCTGCAGGTGCGTTGGAGCCGACTTTGCTACCCGCACAGAGCGTTTCTGACAGTCGGGCGCTGCTTATGCAATAAAGAAAAACAACAATACAGCATGTTTCTCTGCTCCAAGACATCCGCGGTCCTTTCACACGGTAAGCATGTCTGTTATACCCAGCGCATAAATGTCTGTATGTCAGCGCTGATTAAACCCTGTTTAAAAAAAAAGAAAGAAAAAAAGAAATGTTTACGTGGAGGCTGTTGGCTCATTGGTGTCAGATGAACTTTTTTTCAAAATAAATTAAAATAAATACAGTAACCATCAAAATAAGTTTTGTTGATAAAATACATTTCTTGAAACCGTCCATTGTTTTGTCCGAACTCTGAACACTGAATCCAATTTTCAAACTAAAAGCAGTGCTTTCAAAATTTACACTAAAGCAAAAAACCTACAAGAGCAAAAAATAAACAAAATAAAATGATAGTACATAGCGACATATGTGTTTTATTTCTCATAACACATCATTTCCATCTTGTCTTCAGTCCTGCATTTTTATAGTTCTAAGACCAAAATGAAAACTAAACTCTTCATATTCACAAACACTATTTGTTTCAGGATTTCATCATGATTCATTTTCCATATGAGGCAGTGCTTTCAAATTACTTTTGAAGTAGTACAGAGAAATTACTCTTCTCCTCTTCTTTTAAATTGCATCAATATTTTCCAACTGAGCAGTAAAAGGACACGGAAGTCAAACATGAAGCATCAACGTGATGTTTAGATGTCGATTAATATTACAATAAGAGACTAAAGTAACTCGCTTTGAACACTTCAGTTTTCTCTCTTGATGCTGCTGTTTGTTTCCTCCTCCACTTGTATTTTTCTGCACTTCAGTGAATGTGCATAGCGCCCTCTGTTGTATGTTTGGGAGAACTGCACTGCACTGTCATCAAACGAAACTGTGCAGAGGTGGAAAATGAGCAAAGGAAGCACATCAACTGAAGAAGCTTCTTGGATCAGAAGTTAAACATCATCCAGAACCTTAAAGAAGTAAAGTCGCTTTCTTTCCAGGCTCCTTAGACAACCATGACCTGGATGACTGAGAACCTACAAACACACATGAGCAGCAGTTTATTTAATGTGGACCTGAGCAGTGCCCAAAACAACAACCAAACAATTTTTATTGGACCCTACTTCAGCCAATCAGCAGTCTTTATCTCTTTCAGCATCAAACACAAACCACACCTTGAAGAGAGGTGACAAATCCACAAACACCTTCAAATGTAAACACACATCACACATGATGAACATGGATCCTAACATAGTTGATACTTTTTTTTGTAAAGCCTGATACTAAATGTGTGCAGGCCACCTGAACTGCTTGTCTCGAGTGCCGCCCACTGGGTTGGTCACTAGAACTGTGTGTTGCCATCACTGGAGCCGTGGTTGGTCTTTTAGATTATTTAGACTGGGACTGTTTTTTGTTGATTAGGCGGCATGGTGTCCTGACGGCTGCCTCTGTTGTTTTTTTTCCCAGGAGGAGGAGAGTGGAGCACAGGTGGACAGCAGCCACGGAGCAGAGAGCACGGAGTTTTGGGTGAAGACATGACACAGGAGTCGAGGGAGCTCAAGAGATTATTGTGTTGTCTTATTTACTCCACTGTAAATAAAGAGCACTGTCCATCGCACGAGTCCTGCTTTTGGGTCCTCCTTCCCCACTTCACAAAGACTGAAACTAATTATACAGGTAATAATAAAGGAACCAAAAGTTCACATCTATAGCTTTAAATTTGGACAAATCTGTCAACACAACCATCAAGAATAGAATAAAATACAAACAAACACTAAAACTAATGAAAAATTACACATGATATATGAACTGTGGAAACTAACTGAACAATAAAACTCAGAATAAACAAATTCAAACATTATATGAAAGGTATAAACTGATTTGCATCTTATTGATTTGCAGGCTCACTTTGCTCCAGGACTTGACGACTGGCCCAACCCGTACAGTCTTTGTCTCTTAATACTGAATGTTGAAAACTGATACTCATGGACACCTTATTTCAGCCTCTTTACTTTGCATAAGAGACCCAAAGCTTTACATCAACATGATGTTGTCTAGTGGACCAGCACGTCCATTACATGTTTTGCCGTTATTGCTGTTTGTTACGAGTTCAAATATTGAGGGTGAGCACAAAACAATAATGGTCCAGAAGAGCTTCGGTCAAACAATGATTTTAATGAACACGCGCGTGGGGAGATGAACACTGCCCACAGACAGCATCGATCTCCGCCCAATGATACACAAGCAGTTGTTTTATACCATCAGGGTTTACTTTTATGACGCACCTTCATGCGTCAAGCAGATACAACACAGGCATAAGTTTCAAAACCACAAATGTTCTGTTGACGACTTTGGACACATTTAAAAGGACATCTTCTCCGTCTGGAGGCCAGGTGCTTCCTATTAATCTTCTCGCTTATCTCCTGGAACAAACTGTCCCTTAGGCAGACACAATTTTGCAGTCACAAGCTTTTGCAAACTATTATTTGAACTCTTACACCAACAACGCCGTTAAACTCGCCCTCCCAGAAGCCATCGTTCTCGTGGGTCTCTCTGCTCAGGATGGGGATGATGGCGCCTTCTGGGAACGACAGCTCATCTTCCGTTTGTCCCGCGTAGTCGTACAAAGCCTTTGCGAATGAAACTGCAACACAGACAGTGGCAACGAGGGTATTAAACAGAGCAGGAAATCAAAACTCTGATATTATCTGGTGGAGGCGGATCTCACTCCTCGAGTCTCCGTTGACGGAGCCGGTTGGGGGTTCGGTTTCAGGTTCGGTGGAGTTGCTGGAGGAATGGGATCGGGCGTCCAGCGCGGCCAGCGACTGCAGCATGCTCAGCAGGCTGTTGGAGGAGGGCAGCTGCAGGTATTTCTCCGGGACGTAGCCCACCTGTCCGCTACGGTTTCTGGCCTGGAAACACAGACAATGCACACAGACGATGACAACAGCCAAAAATGTTTCAACAGGAAAACTCCTAATGAGAAAAAATAAAGTCAGATGTAAAGAGTAGGGCTGTAACAATATCACTGCATCGTCGCCAGAATTTAATAACAGCCACAAAGAGAATAATAGGAGAGCTTTTGTTCTCTCTTCCTGAATTAACGAGAAATCTAAAATCCTAAACAAGCCTCTGCTGAATTCATGAAGCTTGATTTCATGAACACCGGTGGCCTCCCCTGCCGCTGCTTACTTATTTTCATTCAGATTGAAAACACTCAGAGGTATTGGGATCTCTGTTGGGGCATGCTGTGGGGAATCACAGCACTAAAACAGATCTATATAAATGATATTGCTCACATTTTTATGTATGATTATATTCATTAAAATAAATACCCCATTAAAACACTATATCTGTATATGAAAAGATAATCACCTAAGTAAATAACATAAAATATTGGCTCAACACGTGGAACATTTGCACAATGGCTCACAGGAAAGCCAGACTTACACAATAAACAAAAGTAAAACAGCAACAATGCACAATGTTCCTTCAGGGAAATGATCTGAAAACAACCACACACAAAGTACACAATGACTACACACCAGCAGCTCTGCAGAGGCGTTTATAAAAGAATGACTTCACACAATGATGGGAGCATCCACAGCTGACATTTCTACATTTAAGTAGACACCACTGACCACCCGAAAAATGTCCTCAAAGACTTCTCAAATTTTCTCCCAAAGGTCCAGGAGCAACTTTGTAACAGTCTGTGACAAACAAAGTGAAAATGACAACTAAGTAGCTGGGAGATCATCAAATTAACATTTTATATCCATGACCAGGTCACTCCGCAGATCTCAAACTGATCAAGAGTCCACGAACCGCTGTTAAAAAGCAGAAGCTGACAAACTGTGATCAAACCGGAGCGCTGCTGAGGCAGGATTGGATCACCATCAATCAGGATTTGGTCCAGATTTTCAGTAGCTGCACTTAAGGTATGAATTTAAAAACTGCCTCATTCATGAATTATTGCATTCACAAACTTGGGTGCCATGCCCGCCCACCTGCCTGCCCGGCTGGGTGACGAGAATCTCCCATCAGCCCTTTACGGCTGCAGGGCCAAAAAAGAAGCAGAGAACTGTGTATTTGTACATTTTTTGATTTGTCTGTATGTTCAGCAGAGCTTCTACCACCCAGGCCAACCTGACCTGCCTCAATGCACCGCACGCATTTTAGTTGAATTATTCTAATTCCTGAAGCCACATCAGTTCAACTGATCCCAGAGAAACACTAAAACGTCCAGTAGATAGTCTGTACCGGTGCGAGGTCTTATAAAAACTGAAACTAAATGTTTGTCAAACAGTCTAAGAGCCAGAGAGTGAACTAATACACAAAACAACCAACCCTCAAACATGAGAGTGCATCTGCTACATAACTGTGTTTGTGTTATTTTTGTACCTTGACCCAGTCCTCCATGTCGCCATCATCGATGACCTCCAAGATTTCCTGCTCCTCGATGGTCAGCTCGTCTGGCTGAGAAGCCTGCAGACAGACAAACACGTTCATTCAAATTAAAGCTGCGATGTAACAGTTTAACCATCTTCATTTCACCCGTGATGTATATTTTTTCAAATACCGCCACACTGGTGAACGGACAAAAATGCTCACTGTGGCTTCAATAACATCAGCCAGAACACTGAAGAAAACACTGAGACCATGCCTGCATTTATACCACACTTTACTCAGGACTCAGGTAATATAAAACAACTAATACTCCAAAGCAGCACAAAACTCAGACTTAAACTAGAATTTCTGTACAAACTCAAAGAGCAGGTGTTTTAAACCTGGACACAGAATCATTAGTGCCACAAAGTTTGGGAAAGTAAATCTAAATGGGGGTTAAACACGACTGGAACTGATTAAAAACAGCCAAAACAAAAAGTGGCTTCACTTCAAAGTCAGAATTATAACTGGTATCCCAGTATTCGCTGCCTGTCTGTTGTCAGACGCATTTGTGTGACTATAAATACCACTTAAGTGGGAAAAGGAACTTCTGGTCATCTCTGCTTGGACTGCTGACTCAAGTGTCAAAAAATGATTTGATAGAGGAACTTGTATTGGAAAAAAGAGGAGCAGGGTATTGATCCCTGTTGATTTACCCGTCAGTCTACAGTCATAACTTTACCTATGACTAAAATCTGACACAAATGAGCATCTTCTGAAGGATGTCACCAGTCCTTCACCTGGTGACATGTTAAAGATCCACGTCCAATCCAAATATTTAATTAAAAGTGGAGGTTGTGCATTTATTTAGGAAGATAAACAGTCTGATAAAGTCGGAACAAACACGAGCTGGAAATAGTCCCACGGTGAGGAAATGAGACGACACATCTGTAAACTAAAAATGGGAAATAATCTAAGTTCCTGTGCAGGGAAAGGAGTACAGTACAAAGTTCACTGTTCTGCCTTCAGGCTCATAGTTCAGACTAACAAAGATAAAGACCAATCACGCAGGACTTATTATGTTTCCTGCTTTGACTTCTTACCCAGACTGTTCCATAATGTGTGTGCAGCACTTTTGTGATTAAAATCTATTTAAATTAGTTGTTTATTTCAGTGCAGACAGATTATTGACACTCAAACAATGGAGCTACTTTGTCTGTTACTTACAATTTTTTAGAAAATTAGAACATTTTTTCCTGCTTGTGTATCAATTTAGAGGAAAGGTCATCACCCAGCTTCTCAAGCTTCATACTCCAGTGATCATGAATGTCTAAAAAAAAAAATAAATCTTTTCTGCATCTGGTATTGTTGAGATGTTTAACTCTGGACCAAAAAGGTGGATCTGCTCTGCCTAAAGCCGCTTTGAGCATCAAGGTCCTGAGCAGAGTCCAGTCCGGGCTTTTGTGGCCACGGCCAGCTCAGCTTTCAGGATGCCCGTGAGCTGCTTGTTCCACTCGTCTGATTTTGTATTGATTGTTGTCTAAACAAATTAATCTGTCATCTGTTGAGCTTTGTTCCACTTCTCAACAATCTCCTCTGATCTGTGTTCATTACAGCATTTTACCTGTGGTTTCCAACCTGTGCAGTTCAAACCTGAAGGATCCACATTTCACTTCACTTTTCTGTAGAAATTGATTTTCCGGTAAACTGATTAACACCTCCTGCCAACTAAATTAGTCAAACACGAACCTTATTTTATGCTACAAAATTTGTATTAAAAGCAACCCAAACACTTTGAGATTTGGATTTTAATAGTTTCAAAAATTATTCTTCAAGTTTTACTTGAACATTTTAGAGAAATCATGTTAAGTTCTAAATTTTTAAGGTTGGGGATTTCATTCCATGCATAATAAATACGAGTTTATTTTCCCCAATAATCACTAAAAGCAATCGCATGTGATATTTTATGCATTTAATAATGAATAAAAAGAGAAAAACATCAGTATTTACCGTACTGCTTGCTGGAACGCCATGTTCTTCTGCACAAACAGCTGCTGGTGAAACTCCTGCAGAACCTGCATGCGTTTCAAGGGAACAGACAAAAATATACATATATACTTATTTAAGGTTTATCACAAGCTTACAAATCAGCCCATGTCTAAACCTGCATAATTAACACTTAGTAAAGCCTTTAGGGTTCAGGCTTGCTCCCTATTTAGTTTTAATTTCTTGCCCACATTTATTTCTATTTAAAATTAACTTTGAAAAAAAAAAAGACCTCCAGCTGAATGAATTGTGGCCAGTGATCCGTGTAGCTTTGGGCCACATTTATAATTTTTTATTTTCCATTACTCTGTCAGTTTATTTCTGTTGTATTAAGTTATGTGATTTGCTTATAAAATGAACCCAAATCAGCTTTTTATTATTTTAAACAAGTCAAATAAAAGAAAACGCCAATAACAATTAAGAGAATGACCATAAAGCCGTTTCTGGTTACTATCAGCTGATCTGAATGCTGATGACCACTCTGGTGTTTGTGGTCACAGCCTGACATTAAAAACGTATCACAGGCTCGAGTTCACCGCCTGCCTATTTTCTCACAGACTATTTTTAACTCTCCAGCTGCTGAAAGCTTAAAGAGACAGTTAACAAATTACATAACATATCACTGTAAGTAACACAGGTGAAGGTACAAACAGTTTTAATTCTAATTTCAGGTTTTTTCTAAAGCCAGCTAAAGCAGCCGGGGACTGGACCACAACCTGGACCACAAAGCTCTCTGCCCACCCGAGGGAGGACGAAGTACCTGTGTGGATATTTTAAGCTGAACTCATGGGGCACAGCTATTAGCTGTTCTGGAAAACAAAGAAACCTCCCCAGTACTGGTCCCAGGCTAGTAACTTTGGTCTTTTGAATTGTACTTAAGTTTGGCCCCTCATCAAGAACCAGTTGCCTTGGGGAGACCATACCAGGGGACAGCATAGCTTCTCCTCCTCAACTGCGATCATTCACAGAAAGGAAAGGAGCCAGTGTAGGTGGTTTGACTGGCATCTGAAATAGGAGGCCTCCAGAATGTCTCCTAGACGAGCTGGTAAGGGCAGACCAAACACACACTGGACACATTATGTATCTCGGCCGGCTCGCCGTGGTATCTCAGTATTCGCTGCCTGTCTGTTGTCAGACGCATTTGTGTGACCATAAATACCACTTAAGTGGGAAAAGGAACTTCTGGACATCTCTGCTTGGACTGCTGACTCAAGTGTCAAAAAATGATTTGATAGAGGAACTTGTATTGGAAAAAAGAGGAGCAGGGTATTGATCCCTGTTGATTTACCCGTCAGTCTACAGTCATACCTTTACCTATGACTAAAATCTGACACAAATGAGCATCTTCTGAAGGATGTCTGACCTCTGCCTTAGAAACACGATGAAGAGCTGAGTTATTTGGAAAGCTACTCGTTTACACCGAAAGGCACCAGAGTGGCGGCTCACTGTTCTCCAGGAAGAGCAGGAGTAGGTGGCTGGGGAGGGGGACGTCTGGGCATCATGACCGGACTCAGATAAGCAGCAGAAAATAGATGGAAGGAAATCAGGTTTAGTAATATCAGTTTTATATTCTTTAATCTTGTACACCGTATAAATGCCTAACATTTTAATCAAGCTTCCTGTAGAAACAAGATGCTGCTGCGTCTCTGCTCACATGGAGAGGCAGAGGTTGAGTGTGAGAAATATATTACTATGAATTACTAGGCTAACAATTACACCAAACTGCCAGGCTTGACACCATCTGAAAAGTAAAATGAGCATAAAATGAGCAGCTTACCCAACCCAAGCCAAGTTAAATAGTATCCCACAAGTAGCTCATTTTACTTTTGCTCCCCCAACTTATTTAATCAACCAGCCACAGTGTGGAGCTGACATTCCAATCAAGCTTAATCAAACAATTAAGCTCTCTCTTTCATAGATATAAATAACTGCTGCTAGCTATGACGTTTAAGGAGTGAATAGTGAACTTCTTTTAATGGTGTGTTTAATTAATTTTATTTAATAACTTGTGACCTTTGAGTCCCTTCCTTGCAAGAATTATGGCCAATGACGGAAATGTATGTATTACATTTAAATCAAATCAAATCACTTTTTATTGTCACATCACATGTGCAGGCACACTGGCACAGCACATGCGAGTGAAATTCTTGTGTGCGAGCCCCACAAGCAACAGAGATGTGCAAACACAACAACACAAACGAGCAAAATACAAGAATGGCCAACCTGAAACTAATAAATATATGTACAATATATAATAGTGTATGCATTTCTGGATGTGTATACTAAATATTTTCCTACGTGTGTGTGTGTGTGTGTGTGTATACACATTTTTACAAATTAAATAGTAAAAAAATAAAATAAAATAATAATAATAATAATAATAAAATATATAAAATATACAGAGTTGAATATGTGCAAAACAAGTGGCATTTATATACAGTGTGGAGTGCATAATGTTGAAGTTCCAGTAGTGAAGCTGAGGTGTCTATGACGTGTTCAGCAGTCTGATGGCCTGATGGAAAAAGCTGTCTCTCAGTCTGCTGGTACGGGACCGGATGCTGCAGAACCTCCTTCCTGATGGAAGCAGTCTGAACAGTTTATGGCTGGGGTGACTGGAGTCCTTGATGATCCTCCCCGCTTTCCTCAGGCAGCGCTTCCTGTAGATGTCTTGGAGGGAGGGAAGCTCACCTCCAATTATCCGTTCAGAGCACCGCACTACTCGCTGGAGAGCTTTGCAGTTGTAGGCGGTGCTGTTGCCATACCAGGTGGTGATGCATCCAGTGAGGATGCTCTCAATGGCACAGCGATAGAAGGTCCTGAGGATGCGGGGGCTCATGCCGAATCTTTTCAGTCTCCTGAGAAAGAAGAGGCGCTGCTGCGCCTTCTTCACTGTTTTGTTTGTGTGTACTGACCACGTAAGATCCTCAGCCAGGTGTACGCCAAGGAACCGGAAGCTGCTCACTCTCTCCACAGCAGCGCCGTTGATGGTGATGGGGGTGTGTACTTCTCTGCACCTCCGGAAGTCCACTATCAACTCCTTTGTCTTTGCGACGTTGAGGGTGAGATGGTTGTCTTGACACCAGTGGGTCAGGGCGCTGACCTCCTCCCTGTAAGCCGTCTCATCACCGTTGGTGATAAGACCCACCACTGTAGTGTCGTCCGCAAACTTCACAATGATGTTGGAGCTGTTAGTGGCTGTGCAGTCGTAGGTGTAGAGTGAGTACAGGAGAGGGCTCAGTACACACCCCTGTGGAGCACCAGTGTTCAGTGTGATGGGGGATGAGGTGATGCTGCCCAGTCTGACCACCTGGCGTCTGTCAGACAGGAAGCTAAGGATCCAGCTGCAGAGGGAGCTGCTTAGTCCTAGATCCTGCAGTTTCCTGTCCAGCTTCGAGGGAACGATGGTATTGAATGCTGAGCTGTAATCTACAAACAGCATCCTCACATACGTGTCTCTCTTCTCCAGGTGTGACAGGGCAGTGTGTAGTGTCAGGGCTATGGCATCATCAGTGGACCTGTTGTGGTGGTATGCAAACTGTAGAGGGTCCAGTGAGTCGGGTAGTGCAGAGCAGATGAAGTCCCTGACCAGCTTCTCGAAGCATTTGCTTACGATGGGGGTCAGGGCTACAGGTCGCCAGTCGTTCAATGAGGAGATGGTGGAGGATTTGGGTACAGGGACGATGGTGGCCATTTTGAAGCAGGCTGGGACTACAGACAGAGAGAGGGAAAGGTTGAAGATGTGCGTGAACACTCCAGCCAGCTGAGCCGCGCATGACCTGAGGACGCGGCCGGGAATCCCGTCCGGACCAGTAGCTTTGCGTGCGTTCACCTTCCTGAAGCACTTCCGCACATCCTCCTCAGACACAGTGTGCGCACTGACGTCATCCGCGGTGCGGACACTGTCCGGTCTCATGGTGTTCGCTGTGTCGAATCTAGCGTAGAATACGTTTAGATCCTCACACAGAGAGGCCGTGGTCTGCGGTGTGCTGGTTTTCCCTCTAAAGTCTGTGATCGTGTTTAGTCCCTGCCACATACTCCGAGGGTTGTCAAACTGTTGTTCCACCCTGTCCCTGTACTCACGTTTGGCTGCTTTGATCGTCTTCCGGAGTTGGTAATGTGCGTGTTTGTAGTCCGATGTGTTCGCGGAGGCAAAGGCGGTGTTCCGTGCCGCCAGTGCCGCGCGAACATCTCCGTTAATCCAGGGTTTTTGATTTGGGAAGGATTTGACTGTTCTGGATGGGACGACATCTTCCACGCATTTCCTGATAAATCCACAGACTGAGTCTGTGTATTCATCAATGTCTCTGGTGGCCACGTGAAACATTTCCCAGTCCGCGTGATCAAAACAGTCCCGCAGACTCCGATTGGTCCGTCCAACAGTGCACCGCCCTCCGGGTTGGAGCTTCCTGTTTCTGTTTAAGATTGGAAAACAATGTTAGTGCCACAAACGTGAGTTGTCATATACATCTGTGAGTTAATCTGCACAACCGTGTGCACATGTGCTCTGTGCATGTACACACACAAAGAATTGACCTTCGTTCCTTAAATTTGTAGCATTGCCTCTGTGCTGACTGATGGTGCTCAGTGGCTTTTGCTTCTTGCTTTTAAATCAGATGTCACTCTCAACATAAACACAAGCTACAGCAGCCAAGCAGTCTTAGCTGAGGAAACAAAGATACATTTCCTCATTTAATGTAAAATATTGTGGTGATGTTATGTTATATTAGGCAGGCAGCTGCCCAAATAACACTGTGACAATCAAAAGTATATCTATTTTGAACGCCTCAGCTGGAAAAATTCAAAATGGTTTGTAAAGTTGGCCACAGGTCTGTATGTAAATGGGAGTTAAAACATTGCTTCATATTTGGATATGTATGATGTTAGTGTTTCTAAAATACTAAAAAATGTGTTTATTAACAAAGTAAACTAAAAATAGACATTATTAAATTTTATACTTTTAACTACTGAATTGAACATAATATGAGATAATGTGTTTCCACTGTGGGAATGATGGATCCAATGACAAATAACTTTC